CCCCATGACCAAAAAATAAAATTTAGGTGACTTTATGTACATGTACACGCGTGCACGTGCACACAGACACACACACATACACAGAGTGACATGATAATCTGACCACGGAGACTATTTTACTGTCTATATGGGAACTATAGTCTACACTTTAAGTATATACAACTTAAAAAATTCCCACTTGTGAGGTGTGGAAATATGTTTGTGTCTGACTAGATGAGCAGAAACAGGAGTCAGCACTGGGTTCCTGTGAAGATCTGATTGGGGACTGCAAATAAGGGGGCAGGACTGAGTCTGGGGAGCTGGTCAGAAAAGTTTTCCACTCAGGAATTTCTGGCTGGGCCACCACCGGATCTCACCTGCTAAAAAGCTGTCTTTGTGCTTTGAACTACTCTGCTGGGTCTCCCCAGGGCTACGGCTTTGTGCTCAAGCAGATGAGGCTCCTCTATCTGCCATGCAAGGCATCCATGATGCACATCATGAACATGTATCTAGCCAGGCAACTACATTGCATGGCTGCCATGAGACCTGCGTGTGTATGTGTGTGTAGGGTGGGGCGGGGGGGGGGGAGGGCTCTGTCTGTAGGTCCCTCAGATTCTCTGCCCTGGACAAAGGCTTCTTGTTCTCCCTCCAGAAGGAAAGTTCTCTTGAAGTAGTAGTAGGAGGTAACCCTGGGGAAAATTAACAGTATCTCAATCAGTAACTTATGTCCTCTAGTTCAGAGAAAAGTAAACGGAAGCAGGTGTTATGTCTGAGTTAGATCTGTTATCACTTAGGCCCAGTTGTTCACCCAGGCGCAGAGACCAAGCAAATGACAGCTACTCACATTTTCCCTTCCAGAGTTCATTGCAAGGATGCTTTCACGCATAGTAACTTTGCTGGACTCGGGCATAGTTTGCTTGTTACAGAGCAAAGAACAAAAAACAGTGAAAATATTAATTTTATTGCATCATTTTACTGACTAGAACGCCAGACTTATAGTGGATATAAGTATAAAAATAACCAAATTCTTACAAATAATATTTTGCTATTACAGTACTAAATAATTAGTGGAGGCTGCAATTATAATACAACTTTAAATAACATTCTTATAGTGGACTTAACACAATCAACCAGGATCTAAGGGCAAAAGGTTTACAAAGGGGAAATCTAAGACAATGTGTGAAAACTCAACAGTTCATACTTCAAGTTCCACTTAGCCATAATTGCAAATGCAGCAACAAAAACATTACTGAAACTCACAGCAATGCATGGTGAAACAATCATGTGCTTTTTAGAACAGGCCTAGGGACAGAAGGGCCAAGTGTGCTGAGTCAGTTTCTCACACAAACTGCTTCTATCCCAGCCCTGTCTGCTTCTATTTCCTACCCATGAACTCCACAACAAAATGCATTAAACACACCATAAAAACAACAGAACCAGAATCTAAAAGCAACTCCTTTGACATGCCCTCCTTTACAACACCCATGGAGCAGATTCAGTCTTGGCTTGGTCTCTTTTTAGACTGAAAGAAAGAGCCCCTTTAGGTTTCACAGACTTCTGTAAGTTACAATTTCCATTAGATGTGAAGTAGTATAACATTTTTACTGAACTACTTCAGTTTAACAAATGAATTGGCACTTAATATTTGAATGTTCCTACTATTTTAGCCAGTTTTCTTCTTTGGGCAAGTGAGAAAAAAGAAAACACACTCACATTCTCAAAACTGTATTTGTTTTAAAAAAAAATGCACACAAGAACCTTGGAATGATACATCAAGAAAAAAAGAAAAACCTGACTAGGTGTGGTGATGAAGATGCCAGTAATTTCAGCCAATGGGAGTCTGAAGTGGGAGGATCATGAGTTTGAGGCCAGCCTGGCTATGTAAGAGACCATTATTCACAAACAGAAAAAGCAAAAATGTCCCTTGCTAGCCCCACAAAAGCTTTGATTAAAAAAACAACAACAACTCCCTCTGATACTAGGGCAATTTTAAATTAAATATTACTGGCATCCCAGGCTCTGAAGATTTCCTTTCTCCATTCATCTTCTAAAATCAAAGCATGTTTAGAACTCTGGGTCAACCTCTTGGTTTGGAGTGAGTTAGGCTAAACGTAGCCAAGGGCAGTGCAACTCTCCATTCTCCTTATTCATGTGGTTTCATAGTAACTGAGGACCTGGATAGGTGGCTTAATGAGGCAACTAAGAACCACAGTGAAGGAGTGACCCTAAAGTGCCTGATCTGGAACTTTCTGTCTAAATAAATAACATCCTTTAAAGAGTTATTCAGGTAGTCATCCAGATGCCTATGCCAAAAATGCAGCCCTCCTCTCTTATGGTCTAACATTTAAGAGTTACTACTTCAAGAAATCAACAGTCAGGGGCTGGCAATGTGGCTTGCCTAGCATGCATGAAGCCCTGGGTTCGATTCCTCAGTTCCACATTAACAGAAAAAGCCAGAAGTGGCGCTGTGGCTCAAGTGGTACAATGCTAGCCTTGAGCAAAAGAAGCTCAGGGACCGTGTCCAGGCCCTGAATTCAAGCCCCAGAAGAGGCAAAGGAAAGAAAGAGGGGGAGGAGGAAAGAGGGGGGAGGGGGAGGGGGAGGGGGAGAGAGAGAGAAAGAAAGAAAGAAAGACCAACAATTACATCTTGGGTTTTGACTTCAAATGCTATCTGCCAGCTTGGCTGCACCAAACATTCAACAATTGTGACTCTAATAGACTTAACTGTTTTGGGAAATAACCTTCCCACAAAGGAGAGACCTATGAGCCTTTTAGGCTGTTCAACTTCATGCCCCACTCTGATGGCTCACAAAAATCCTGCCCCTAGACGTGGGAGAGGACGTTCCACACCTGGAGCACGGCAGGCAGGCCTCCATGGATGCACGTGTCTGCCTGTGCCTGTCAGAAACGCCCTGGGGCCACCTTCCAGTGCCTCCAGCCCTAGCCACGTACCAATGCACGACCTAACGCAAGCCAGCCACCGTTTTCTTGATGAAGAACGTGAGAGTTCAAGAAAAATATGCAAAAACACACCTGAAAGGGCACTTTCCAAAAGGGTACCAGGTTTTTGTTCTTGCGTTTCTAGTCATTCATTACTGCTTAATATTAAATTCCTTTAAAAAATGATTTGCGGGGTCCAGGGTTTCCCTTCTTTCAGTTGAAGTGCACTGCATGGCAAGATGTCTGCCAGGAGGGTGAATGGGTAGGCCTCCATAGCTCAGCCATAGGGTGGGTGGAGATAGGATTGGGGTCTGAAGTCTATCTCTGTAAATCAAGCTATTTATCCTCTCTGGAGGTTTTAAGTCTGGGAAATGAGTACTTCAAGGCCAACTAACAAGGAGGCTGCTCGGCCAAGTATCTCACACATAGCCTGGCCATGGGAAGAACAGGAGATGTTTGTTGTTTATCCTGAAGAAACATGCCCCGGTACCCTGGGGCTCATGGGAGAAAAAGGAAATGGAAAATAAGACCCCTGGAGCTTCAAATCCAGGCTGGACCCTGGGAAGGAGCCGCCCCTCCCCCAGCGGCAGGACACGGGCTGTGCCTGGCCTGGCTCTGCCCCACAGAAGCATCTCATGGCTGGTGTCACTTTTCCTTCTTTCCACTTTCTCCAGCTGTGGGGTGTCAATGCAGAACCATGGCGTTTCTGTGAGCATGAACTGCTCATTCCACGTGTGAGGCCTGCCACTGAGCACGGCGCCCCAGCCGAGCTCTCGAGTGGTAGGTGTGGGTCCACCTGAACCAGTCCTGAACCTCTTGTCTATCTGCTGCCGGCGCCCTACCTGCAGTTTCCTTTCAGCCCAGGCAGGCCATTCGAGGGGTCCTAACCCAGGCAGGAATAACCCCATGGTACACAGGGCAGACTGGGTCACTTCTGTGCCCCTTTCAAGCCTTCTCCGACCTCCGAACGCCTTCCCCTCTCCACAAGCCTCCTGGAAACTGGCCATGCTGGGAGCACCTTGCTTGGAGGCCCTCTTTTTTCACAGTAGAAAACAAAACTCTAAATCCACTCTACTCGAACAAGATTCATGAGCAGGCAAGCATTTTAAGAACTCACACGACACTCTTTTCTAGACTCTGGGATAGTTCCAAGACAGAACACCTTGTTTTGTGGGTTTTAAGGCTTTTGGCCCAGATACAGGAGATGATCTTCCAGCTGTGATGTGGGCTGAAGACAGCATACTATGTCTACACACAGCCCTTGGTGGCTCCTCCCACAGGAGTGAGGCCTGGAGAGCAGATACGTTGCAAAAGGAGCTGGAGCAGGCTGCGCAGCCTGTTGGCTCAGGTGTGCTGAGGGCAGGAGTTCTGAGTTCTCCAGTTAGATGTGAGGCCATGTGGTTCCAGAGAGATATGTGCAAGACCCAGTGTTTCAAGACAGTGATGAGTTTGAATGTAAGTTAATATTCATGGACAACAGGACTTACTTTGTACTCGTGAGATAAGCACACCTCAACTGCTAGAATCCACACACCTGACTAGCCATCCTCCTCTAGCAGGTGATGGGGAGCAGCGGCGACGGCGGGCTCAGCTCAGGCCTCGGAGAGGAGAACTGCATGTTTCGAAGAGGACATCTTGAAGAAACGCACATGTCCAAGGAAGACTGTCCCCAGCACGGAACCAATTCCAGACATGCAGGCCACTGAGCCCCCAGCAAGAACGCGGACGATCCTCATCCCTCCATGGTCCCTCCCCTACATCAGGATGGTCCAAAGTTCCACAGTTAGACACGAAGCACTCAACATGCCCCCCTTGCAAGACCCAGGACAACCAACAAGACAAGGGACATTTCCTTCCCCAAAGCACACTCCCAGACCCTAACCAGCCAGTGCTCACACACACCATACCTGTTTCCAGAAGGTACTACACAGGGGCGGAAGAGGAACCAATGACCAGATGAGAGGAAGTTACTACTTCAGTGAGTGAAGTAGCTCTGAGTGGTTAGTTTATACACTGAGTTTGTGGACACATTGAAAGACACAAAAATGAGCAGGTAAGCACACTTACCCGTAGCTCCGCAGGAACACCCACAGAAATCTAATGCCTAAATTAGACCATTTCTCTAACCATGACCAGTTGCAGGGACCACAGCAGACTTTTCCTCTGGGGGTGAAATTCTGGCTCACACTCCTGCATTCAACTTTCCTTTCTAACTCCATCTGTAGTGGCCTCTGGTTTCTGGCATAGTGGTCAGAGGAGCAGGAGCTATGGATTTCCTCATGGTGAATGAGAAGGGCCCCTGCTGAAGGCAGGACCTGCCACCTTTGGCCCCCTGATCTGCCAGTCAGCCTCATCACTGAGGCAGCTGGATGCTTCTAACCCAAACCAAATGCAAGTTGCTTTGCCCTGATGTGCACCTGCTTGAAAATGTGAGACTGAACTGTAAGTTGGAAAAAGCCATTGGACTTCAATGAACATGTCACCTTGACTTGAAAAGCAGGTAGAAGTTATGTGCTATGCCTTACAACGTCCATTTCTCAATGAGGGGAATGGCCTGGGAGTGAGCATAAGGCCGCCTGAAAGTGTTAGAGCACTGTCGGCTGCAGCATCTCTGGGTCACAGTGGTACATTACCCCCTCTCCTGTCTGTTGTTTCACACACAAGCATCTGGACAGGAAAACAAAGTGCCAGCACCTGGTGGCAATGAATCACCAAACGGTGGCCCAGAAAAGTGTCTCATGAAAAGAAGCCCTCTTTCTAGAATAGTCTTGAAACAAACCAAAAAGAAACCTCCCTGCCCAATGTACTAAAGTGCAAACCAAGGAAAAACCGGGTCCTTGCAGTGATAGCTAGTGGCATGCCGTGGCTACGGTCCCCCCTAACTCCAGCAGCACGCGGCAGCACTCAGAGACTCCCATGGTACTGCCCACCGTCGGTTCACAGTAACAATGAAGGTGCCAAGTGAGCAGCCTGCCGGTCCACACTCCGCCCTTCCCGTCCACTGGAGCCACGCCTGTCCCTCTTTCTGTTTGCCACTTATGGGTGGCTCTGACAAGTCCTGGGAGCAGCCAGTGCTCTGAACCACAGAGGTCCCGCAACCGTTTCGGGGCAACAGGTTTCTTCCCTGACTCAAAAGTAGTCTCTCCTCCTGCTCTCATCACTGATGAAAGATGGGTTATACTGTCCAGGGAAAATGCAAGAATGCCGTGATCCGGGCAATCCAGTGTAGGCTGGGTACAGACCGTTCCGTTCAAGTTCAGGATTCCTTACGTTTGTGGGCTGTTGCCAAAGAAAAAAGAAAAAATTAAATTATTCTTGGATTTAAATTTAAGAGAAGAGCATTATACATATTAATAAACTTATATGCTGGCAATAGCTATAAATAGCAGAGCAAGATCTGACCTAGAATTCAGGACCCTCACAGGTCTGTCTGTCTCCTTCTTTCCATTTTGATTTTCTGAGACGAGATCCTACTTGTGTCCCAGGCTAAGCCCAAACTTTCTTTGTAAAGCCAGTCTCAAATGTGAGAGTTTTCTGTCTTTGCCTCCCATGTGCTGGGATTACAAGCACGTACCATCATACCTGACCTATCTTTCTGTGGAATCTGGGATATATTTGTCCCTATTTTAGAAAGAGGATTAAGAGCCAAGGGCAGGTAGTTCACACCTACAATCCTCACTACTCAGGAGGCTAAGATCTCAAGATTGAGGTTCAGAGCCAGCCCAAGCAGAAGTTCATGAGACTCTTATCTCCAATACTACCCCCCTCAAAAAAAAAAGCCATAAGTGGAGCTGTGGCTTAAGTGGTAGTGTTAGTCTTGAGCAACAGAAGCTTAGGGATAGCACCTAGGCCCTGAATTCAAACCCCAGGACGGGAACAAAAAGGGAGGTATGTAATTAATTGGTGGTCCATGCCTGTAATCCTAACTACTCAGGAGGCTGAGATCTGAGTACTGTAGTTCAGAGTTAGCCTGGACAGGAAAGTCCATGAGACTCTTATCTCCAATTAACCACCAAAAAGCCAAAAGTGAAGCTGTGGTTCCAGTGATGAGTGCTAGCCTTGAGCAAAAATGGCAGGTACAATGTCCAGGCCTTGAATTCAAGCCGCAGGACTGGCACAAGAAGTGGTAGTGGGTGGGGGTGGGTGGGGGGGTTGGGGGGGTTGAGGATTAATTAACCAGGTGTCAGCAAAAACAAACAAGAAAACAGTAAAACAAAAACCAAGCTCCCAGTGGAGACCCCATGGGGAAAGGTATCATGGCTACTCTGAGAAGCTCTTCATAGTAGCTTCAGATAAAAATGTTCTCTTGGCAAATATAAAATACAGGAACTGTGCATTATACATAAAATCTACAAAAGCCAAAGGTGGGACTCACCTGTGCCTACTGAGAGGAACATCTTGTCCACTCAGGTGAGCTTTACTGTATAATTTTAGGCTCTGCTTCTACAGACTGCTCAGCCTACTGATTTTGAAGTGGAGATGGGGTTCAGTTTTGAAATGTTTATACCTGATTTCTTAGAATTATCTCCAACCCAAAATAAGGCGGTGTGGTAGAGGTAGTCAGATTTGAGGATGCATAAAAGGGCTATCTGGGGCCTCACAGTGGCAGACAGTGGCTGGGGGGACCCAGCGACCTTGCTGTGCTCCAGAGTATCGCATACCATACCATAGGTCATGAGGACAAGGGTTAAGGCAAATGAGGTTTACAGCTTTGTTTCGGATTCCGTTCAGACATAAAATACAAGATTGCTGTGGGCTGAGAAATGCAGGCTTTTTTTTGTTTGTTTTTTAACCACTGGAGAAAAGAAGATGGCAGTGGGAGAATGTCTGTCCTGGGGTGGAGACTGCTAGGACAATGGTAAGGGGCCCCCTGAGATGGGAGTATTTTAGAGCTCAGTGTGTGAGTGTGTGGAGATGCCACAAGATTGCATAGCCAGGACAGAGATCAGAAGCCTGTCAGTCTCAGAAAAAAAAAATGCCCCTCAGTTCTTATAGTATAGGAGTTCAGACACTGTCCCTGGTTGAGTGGTAGCAGTCGCTGGAGAGAGGAGCAGGGGAGGAGTGGTCTGGGCACATACAGATTTCCACTGGAGTAGGGGAAAAGTACAAGGCCTTGGAGGGGCAGAAGTGGCCATTACTACAAATAGATACTGCCTTTCTACTCCTTGCTTTCAAAATAAGTATGGTTCCCCCAACCCAGTCTGCGGGACATTTCGGCATCTGCTGTACAGTTCTCTGAAAAGGAACAAAACATGGTAACACACATAGGTCTCCTAAGGCATCTCTGAAGAACTTTGGCAAAAATGGAAATGTTATAACATCCTCAGAACTTTGTGATTCTGTTTTACTTTGGGCCCTGAACTGATTTAAGTTGTTAACTAGGTGTATTTTAAGCAGCTCCTTACCTAATGCTATGGAAACATAGCAAAGTTGGGCCTTCAGGAACACCACCCACCATTTTGTGGCTAGTGATCCCACCACACTGAAGCAAAGGTGTTTGGGAACATCTTGGGGAAATATCTACCTAATTATGGTGTCAATTGTGTAAGGAAAAGGACTTTCCTAGCCAAGTAGACACAAAGCCTTATGCAGAAAAACAAAAACATTTAACTAGAGCCAAGTCTGTGTGTACAATTATCTCTCTTGTTTCTCATTCTTCTCTCAGGTTCAAATGTTCCAGTGAGCACACGGAAACATACAGCTCTCTAGCATGAAGAAGCCTGCCCCTCCCATCTGAAGTCTGATCATCATCTCCAATTCCCGTAGCAACCAAAGGGATGGTGGTTTCACTAATGAGACTGTCTAGTGCCATTAAGGCCCCACAGGGCAAGGGTCACATGTTTATTGCTATACCGAGAATTGATATCACCTGACACCTGTTTATTTTTTGGTTCAGATATGGTTTATGTTTGCTCTATGGTTGACACAGCATAAAGTAAAGGGAACCAGGCAGGACAGAGGAATAAGACTTGGGTTAAATTCAATGTGGGACAGAAGAAGCTGGACTCAAAGTGTTCTTCTGTCTTTATAAATGATACAGTCCTGTATTGGATAGAGACAATTTCTTTCTTCATCTTACAGTTTCCATTCCTATAACTTAAGAGTAGGTTTGTGAATTATTGTTACCGTAAAATACTTGGAAATACCTCAGTGCAAAACTAAGAAATACCAGCATGCAAACAGGTCATAAATAAATGTATGTGAAAATACATAAGCAGCAATCTTGTGCTACCATTTTATTGAACCCTTTGGCTAGCTGTAATGCTTTCTTTATAGACAAAGAGAATTCTTTTCTTCTCTGACCAGGTGGGAGCCCATGGTTGCTTTGGGCACAAGGGGCACAATACACACCGAATAGTACACATCTGTCATCTGGAGGAGGTTTTTGGTGCTTCCATTCTCATGCATTTCAATGGCTTCTCGGCCCCACTCTTGTGAACGAGGGTTCTTGGGGTACTCGGCATATGGGGACATTTGGAAATCCCCGCTTTTGAAGATAAGTTTGCTTATGTCATTTTTACTCTTTCTGTGAGATTAAAAACAAAATTTTGAAAACCTCTGTGAATAAGTTATGTAAAGAAATGTTATCTATGTAAACACAAACCATTATTTTGCGATGCAAATTAGACTATAATTTCTGTGTGGGTGCTCACTGTTGGGAGTGTTAGTAGTATTTGCCTAAACAAGGAAAAATGAAATTAGGTCAAGACGCAAAAAGACTTCCCATCTAAAAGGGCCTAAGAGACAAGAAGGACCAACAGCTACAACAGAGCTGTTAGATTCCTCTGTGAGAGGAGGTCAACACCAGTGAACAGTGCATGGACTGCTGAGCACCAGTGGTGCACGCCTGTAATGCTAGTTACTCAGGAAGCTAAGATCTGAGGATCACATTCTGGAGCCATTGTGGGCAGGATAGTCTGTGAGACTCTTATCTCTAATAAACTACTCGGAAAAAGCCAGAAATAGTGCTATGGCTCAAGTGGTAGAGCACTAGCACAGAGAGTCTCAGGGATAGATCCCAGGCTCCGAGTTCAAACCCCAGGACCGGCAAAAAAAAAAAAAAAAAGTGCAGGGACTGCTCAAGCCAGAAGACACAACCATGTACACCTGGCCTGATAGGAAGAGTGTAGGTGTGACCAGATTTTCTGCATCAAATACTCTGTGATTTGGACATTTCGAGTTTAGTGAAGACAGCTGATTTACCCCTGGGTCACATTTTGCTACTACAAAAGCTGCAACTGGAATCAAATCTCTCACCTCCCAGCCAGTGTTTTTTACTACATAACTTCATAAATAGCAAAAGCAGGATGGTTACAAAACAGCTCATCTGTATATGGACTACCAACATTCTCAGTTCAGCACAAGAATGAAAGCTGATTATGAGGTTTTATTATGAGCTAACTGTTGGTGTAGAACTACATATTCCAACAATTAACTAGTACTAAAATTTTAAGTATTTGTCTGAGGAAAATAACCTGAAGTTTCTTCCTTCTCAATCACTTACCTATAAATGTATAAAATAGCTATAAAACGTCTGGGAAAAGTATGAGATGACTCAGGTTTATAAAGTCAAATGTTTAGCCTGTGGCTTGGGTGCTGGTCCTTTGTGCAAGTTCAAAGCACACCAACTACTATCCTGGTGGGTGGAGCATCTGGTCGCAAACAATGCCTTCCTTGTTCATAACTAATTTCCCTGCTCATTAACCAAGCTCCTTTGCAGATTGTGTGTCTGTAAAAACTAGCACAGAACATGTTGAAAAAATGACACCCCTTCCCTTGAGCTTTGGCCCTCTAGATAACTAGTTTTATAACCAGATGTTCATTTCCATGCAAAGCTTGTCTCTGGTGGCAATTTGGTGAATGAGAGTCAAAGGCCTGTCTTGTCTCTGCTGGAGATAGATGAATCCTTCAAACATCCTCCTTATCAAGGGTAGAAAAGGTGACTATTTTAGAAGGTTCCCTCCATCTTTTATGTGTAGATGATTCTTGTCAAGTATTACCATCTAAATCAAAGGCCAGAATTTTCCTTCATTTGAACAAATAATCATAGAGAAGGAGGATCAAGTCCCTCCTTTCTCTTCCTCTCCCAGTACAAACTCAATTCCACTGGCTTCCAGGAAGCCTAGAGCCAAGTTTACTGCTCATCCCCACTGTTGCTACAACTTCTCTAGTGTTAAATATTTCAGATAACCCCTTTCATCTTGCTCTGTCTACATCCATCAATCCACTAATCTATCCACCCATCTATCTAGCCATCCATCTGCCCATCTGTCTAGATATAGGTATAATACCATTTTTCAATTTGGAGGGTTTCATTATGCTATCATGTGATTACATGCACATACATATATATGTATATATACATATGTGTATAGATGAGATAGACTATATGAGATATATAGATGATATAGAGCTATAGATATCTATTTATCTATCTATAGCGAATATTTATCTATCTATCTGTTATACTTCAATCCCTTCACTTTCAAATACTCCCCTGGCCCAGTCGCTCCTGCCATTCTGTGGGCTTTTTTTTTTCTTCTTTTTTGGTGTTTTGAAACAGAGCTTCATTATGTAGCGCAGGCTAGCTTCAATTTAAATTCATAATTCTCCTGCCTCAGCAAATGCTAGAATTTATAACTCCCAAGTTCTAGAATTATAAGCATGCAACACCATACTTGGCTTTTCTTCCTTGTTACTGTCCTTTGCAGCACAAATATTCTCTCATGCTAAAGGACTGGGGATTGAACCCAGGCCCTTATATACGCTAAACAAGCCTCCACCGCAGAGCTTTAGCTTCTGAAGCTCAAAAGGTCTTAATTCTGTTGAAATCCAGTTTATCTCTTTTTTTGTTGTTGTTGTGATTTTTGGATTATTTATTTATTTTTGTGCTGGTCCTGGGGCTTGAAATCAGGGTCTGGGCACTGTTCCTGAGCTTATTGCTCAAGGCTAGTGCTCTACCACTTGAGCTACATCTTCATTTTCAGCTTTTTATTATTTACTTATTTATTTTGGATGATTTTCCTTTTTTTAAACAAAGAAAACAAAGTTCCATTTATTCTCTTTCAAATTTTTGTCAGGCACCAGCTACTGTGAGTTTCCTTATTTTTAATTGTTCAGCCATACATTATGATAAATGCTGCCAGTCACCTCAAGTATTTTTTATGAGTGGAAACAGGCCCTTGTACACAGGATTAGGATGCGAACGCTTATCACTTACCTGCAACAGGTAATAATCAGGGCAATGCCAAGGATGAGCAGTAGCCCACCTCCAGCTGCCGCAATCACCACGGTGATAAGCTGATAGGCTAAATATGGTAAACAAATAAACAAACAAGCAGAGATAATGCATGAATACCACAGGAGAGTCTATCCTCTCACCCACAGCTACTACTTGCGTGAGACCCCCTCCTTCCACTCACTCTCTAATCTTCAGCAAGGGATCCTCTCTAGCAGGCCCTACATTTTTTTTTTTTTTTATTGAGAAGCTACCCCTAGAATGGTGGCTCCTAAATGCCACCTGCAGACCAACCTGATGACCTTTTAGTAAAAAGATAAAAAGTAAAGGTGAAAAATGTTTTTTACAAACTTAATTTGTTTCATTTTAATAGCTGTTCTTATCCTTCTTACTTTTATCTATCACTTAAAATGGTATCTTTATTGTGTGCAGATGGTGCCTCAGGAATCATTATTATTATTGTTGTTTTTTGGTACTAGGGATTGAACCTAGGACCTGAAACATGACCTTAAGCAGGCTCAGCATACACTCTTTTCACTTGAGACATTACACACCATTTGTTTTCATTTTGTTTTTTAACCTGAACTGGCCTTGAATACAAGAGTATCCTGTCTCCTTGTCACTCCAGGTTGAGGTTATGTGCATGCATTACCATGCCCAACTTTGTTTTAATTGATTATTAATTAATTATGTGCCAGTCCTGAAGCTTCAATTCAGGGCCTGGGATCTTGTTCCTGAGCTTTTTTGCTGAAGAACAGCACTTGACCACTTGAGTCACAGATCCACTTTTAGCTTTTTAGTTGTTAACTGGAGATAAAAGTCTCATGAACCTTCCTGCCCAGGCTAGCTTTGAACTACAATCCTTAGATCTCAATCCTCCTGAGAAGCTAGGATCACAGATCTGGGCCTAATTGTCTTTTTTTGTTGTTGTTGTTGTTGGTCGTGGGGCTTGAACTCTGGGCTTGGGCACTGTCCCTGTGCTCTTCAGCTCAAGACGAGCGCTCTACCGCTTAAGCAACAGCGCCACTTCCAGTTTTCTAGTGGTTTATTGGAGATAAGAGTCTCACGGACTTTCCTGCCCAGGCTGGCTTTGAACCATGATCCTCAGATCTCAGCCTCCTGAGTAGCTAGGATTACAGGCATGAACTACCACTGCCTGGCCTGATTGTCTTTTTTTAAAGATAGAGAAAACACAAAGGTTTTCTATGACCACTTCTTACTCTTTAGTGTTAGCTACTAAACTTTTGGATATGATAATGAGTAGACATGATTCTGAGTTAGATTGTACTCGATTTTAAAAAAAAAGAGAGAGCAAGACAACAGGAAGGCAGCCCATCCCATTTTATAAGACCCATTACCGATCAGCTGAGTCAGGGGTCTGGAAACCACTTCTTACACCATGCTAGGAATTCAGGAGGCTCCTTAATAAATACGCACTGCATTTAGTTACCAGAAGTTGGCAGTGACATAAGCAAGTACATATCACATGTAATAAAAAAATACTAAAAGTTTAATAGATTGGGTTTTATTGGGTATATTTCTGGCAAAATTATTTCCAATACATTTTGCTATCAGACTGATTTTTATTTTTCTATGAAAATATAAATAAAGGGCTGGGAAGTTGGCTCAGTGGTAGAATGCTTGCCTTGCATACATTAAGCCCTGGGTTTGATTCCTCAGCACCACATAAGCAGAAAAAAGCCAGAAGTAGCGCTGTAGCTCAAGTGGTAGGGTGCTGGCCTAGAGCTGAAGAGCTGAGGGACACCGCCCATGCCCAGAATTCAGCCCCCACAATCGACAAAAAAAAGAAAAAGAAAAAGAAAAAAGTAAAGATAAATAAAATTGTATCCTCAGAGTAAAGATCTGGGATAAAAAGCCAATGATCAGATTTAATGTAGCAAATAAAAACTGGTACAACTGCTCTCTAAACATTCTGATAAAGCCATTCTGTGTAAGCTTCCTGTTGCTAAGTTCGTGCAACAGGTGTAGCAGGTGTTGTCTGTGAGGACAGTAAAGCAGACTGAGCTGAATACAGGTAGTACAAGCTATACAACCTTTCACCTATCCTTTTTCTTAAATAGTCTCATCCTCTCTAGAGCCTCCAGAATGAAGAACTTGGAATTCTAAGTCCTACTTTCTCACAGACACTTCAATATTTTATAAGCAATGATTCTTTCTCTTTAATTTTTACAGCTTGGCACTGTTAGCATTAATAACATCTTTCATCAAGTCAACCCACTCTGGGCCCTCACCTTTCCTATAAGCTCTCTGCTTACATGGTTACTTAGAAGAAATCTATTATCTGCTTAGCCACATGCTTTCTGGGCACTGTTTGCTCCCTTCCACCTGCAGTGAGGGTAATGATGCTTATTTACACATGTAGCAGCATTGGCCATCCTCTGGCCACAGCTGGTTAGGTATAAATACATGGTCCAAACTGGATCAATTGGTTCTCAGAATCTCAGACTGGTAAAAAGTGAAGCCAGCTTTCCTTTTCAAAATGGCTAAACCAGTGATATACACTCAAAATCTGTATGAGAATTCTATCTTCCATCATGTTGTCTAGAAAGGAGAGAAAAACCCCATTATCTGTGGAGAGTCCATCTTCTATATGTCCACAAGCCCACCAGTCAAAGAGCAAAGAGGAGGCAGGAAGACGGAAGCACATTAGCATGTGTTGTGAAAGAAGTCCCTGACCTCCAGCTGTCAGAGTTCTCAGTGTCCAGTTTTCTGCCATTCCTGCTGCTGGAATATCATGATATACACTCTAACCCTCCCCCAAAAATTTTATTGAAGCTGGGAGCCGGTGGCTCACGCCTATAATCCTAGCTACTCAGGAGGCTGAGATCTGGGGATCACAGTTCAAAGCCAGCCTGGGCAAGAAACTCTGTGAGACTCTTATCTCCAATAAACCTCTAAAAAACTGGGAGTGGCACTGTGGCTCTAGAAGTAGAGTGCTCGCCTTGAGCTGAAGAGCACAGGGACAGCTCCCAAGCCCAGAGTTCAAGTCCCATGACCGACAAAAAACAACAACAAAACAAACTTTGTTGCTTATATTAGCCATGCTTTTTATTCTGGAAGAATTTTAGCCTATCAATGTGATTTCCATTAAAACTGTATTATTAGAGTCGGGTGCTGGTGGCTCATGCCTATAATCTTAGCTACTCAGGAGGCTAAGATCTGAGAAACATGGCTCAAGGCCAGCCTAGGAAAGAAAGTCCATGAGACTTTTATCTCCAACTGCCACCTAAAAACCAGAAGTGGATCTGTGGTTCAAAGTGGAGGCCCTAAGTTCTGAACAATCCCATTTGACTGAGCAAAACAAAACAAAATGAAACAAAAAAATGCCCCTGTATTCCAGACATTCTAGGTAGCCCTATTAAGTTTTATTTCCGTGTTCACTTGGTTCGTTCTACTTTTTTTCATAGTGATTCATGGTTACAATTTTACCTCTTTATTTTTAATTTGGCAGTATTGAAGTTTGAACTTAAGGCCTATCCATTGCAAGGCAGGTGCTCTACCACTTGAGCCACTCCTCCAGCCCAGAATGCCTTTCAAATATTCCCATTCTTCTCTGTTCTATCCATTCTTTTATTTTCTAGGCACCTTTCAAAATTCACCTTTTTCAGGCCTACGGGCTTTGTGTAAACATGCCCAGTACTCCTGGCCCTCCACTATGACAATTTCCCTTGTGATTCTGGCACTTTCTCCTGAGGTTTCTGTACTTTCTGTCTCACCAGCAGTTCTTCCTAGTGGCAATATCAGACACAGTAGTCCTCTCACCCTCAGCCCTGTTTTTCTTTGGTTCTGACAGAGGCCACTATGTGTGAAATGACTACTTTTAGCTAGATGAGACACCCAACTACCTTCTGGGTAGTAAGTGACCTCTCCTTCTGAGTAACGCTTGCTAACAAAGCATTTCCACTGTTGTAAACCTTTTAATAGCTTCCATGGAAAAACAGGGCAAACACAATTAAAAGGTATTTTATACACTTTCCACTTAACTGTGGGTTGGGGTGGGAAGACTGGGAATATCCTTAAGTGGGATGCTCTGGTTTTACAGAAAGGGGCCGTAAACATGGCAGGCAGTCTAACTCCTCCCTGGTCTGTTTTATTGAGAAGGAACTGTATTGAGAATCTGGGGAAATGATGTTGAGTTCTATGACCACAGCAACAATAAACAATAAAACCAACAAAACCCCTTAGAGGATAAGAATCTTTTTCAAAAAGTGACTCTTCTGATCATATAAAATAATACTTATTGAATTTCTAGGAATACAAACGAGGATCTTTTTCTTTGTTTAAAAAAAGTGGTTCTTAAAAGCAATTAGAGGTGAACAGTTAAGTAAAATTATATAATAGTGTAGAATTATGAAAAGTGACCATATAAAATTATGAAAATGAAAGTATGTTCATGTATTAAGTTTAAAAATGATACATTCAGTGATGTAAAATTCCTTTTAAAAATGATTATACATATATATCCCTGGAAAGACGAACAATGCCAGTGCTTCCTTTATAATTCAGCTTCTGATTCAGTAGGGCTGAAGTGGGAGGCCGGAAATGCTGTGTTTCTAACAAGCTCCTGGATAACATGGATGCTGCTGGCCCCAAGGACCACACTTAGCAAGAACACATGGTGTGAGATGGGTGGTGAGATTATTTAGTTGGATGACTACTAATACTAAGTAATGAGGGAAGGCCAGGTACAAGAATGGACAATACCATATTCTCTTGCCACTGGACTTGGCACCTAAGGATGTCTGTACATAGAAGCATTTCTTCCCTATGAAAACTCCAGCCTGAGTCACAGCCCCTGAAAGGTAACTACTTACTTCGCTGCTTTGGCATAAAACATTGAGTGATGACTCATATAATCCCCAAAGGGGCTATCATTACAGATAGAGATGAAATCTAGGTGATTCCTGACCCCTTAACCTTAACACACTGGGCTGAGCCTAGAGCTCAGATAAGGAAGTAAGTGGCAGATTTATATGTGGTGGAAGCAAGCACAGCAAATGTGTCCTTACATATTATTACAAGTTATCATAGAATTCAGCCACTATTAATTGTTTTATAGTACTAAAAGTAATAACAGAAAGCAAAATCATAAAATGAAAGTTGGGTGTGATGAACTTCTAGAATCCCAGCACCCTGGACAAGTTAAGAAGCCGGACTGCTCTTACGTAAGTGAGATCTTATCTTAAAAAACAAGTAAACAAAAATGACAAAATAAAATTCTACACTACACTAATGACCAACTGTCAGTAACAGTTATAGCTGGGGACCCATCATCTAGGTAAGTGTTGCCCTCTGCTGGACACAGTAATGATGACTGAATAAATGTGGAGGAAAAAAAAAGTCTGGGGGATCTGAGGGGAATCTTGACTACTTTCAGGCAAAAGTCATGGAAAATAGCAGAACTTTTTCCTGACGTAAGAACTTTCAGAAAATTAAAGGAATGTGAGGGTACAGCATCGCTACACGTAACAGATGTTAATGATCTGGGGGCATGCTAGAAAGTGAACAGTACAATTCTGCATCTCAGGAAGCCCCTTCAAAGCACAGATATCCTTCTGAACACACACAGAAAGGTCCAGGACCCACACAGCTCAAAAACTAGTTTCCTAAAAAAGTGATTTTTTTTTTTGGTGCTGAGGATCAAACCTAAGGTCTTATGGTGCCATGGTGTTCTTCGTGACCATTTATATATAGAATTGTTCATTCTCATTCTTTAAAAAAAACTAAACATTAGGGCTGGAGTTAGTTCATCATGCCAATAATCCTTCTGATTCAGTTGGTTAAGATCTGAGACTTTCAGTTCAAAGCCACAAGACTTTTATCTCCAAATAGCCAGCAAAAAACCTGAAGTGGAGATGTGGCTCAAACAGTTCTCTCTCTCTCACACACACACACCACCACCACCACCACCACCACCACCACCACCACCACCACATCGAGAACATTAATTCTATGAGTATTTCTTTCCATTCATTAACTCTATGCTTGTTTCCAAAACTGCTTCCCTGCTTCTTCTCACAGGCTCCCTACTCTAACTTCTTGCTATTTTTCTGTCAACAGAAATTAAATGATGAGGGGCATTGATAGTCCTAAATGGGTATACAATCAATCCCAGGTCCCTAGACTCTGGTCTGAGAGTGGCCCTGTGCTGGGTTTAGAGCAGTATGTCTTATGCCTTATCTTATCTATTTTTCATTTTATTTCTATTTCTATTCAAATTTCAATAATACAATTTTCTAACAAGAAGCTTTCTTTTTTTCTTTTCCTTTTCCTTTTTTTTTTTGGGTCCAGTCATGGGGCCTGAACTCTGGGCCTGGGCGCTGTCCCTCAGCTCCTCAGTTCAAGGCTAGGGCACTACCACTTGAGCCACAGCGCCACTTCCGGCTTTTTTTCTTTTTGCTTATGTGGTGCTGAGGAATCAAACCCAGGGCCTCAGGCATGCAAGGCAAGCTCTCTACCACTGAGCCACCTTCCCAGCCCCTAACAAGAAGCTTTCTAAATAAAGATAATATCACTGAGGATATAAAAAGGAACGGGGAACCTTTACACAAATTAAATAAAATCATTTCTACATCCAATCCTGTACACTTAAAATATATACCATTAGCACACTTATCTACAGAGTAAAAGCTATTCTAACATTTAGTCTTAATTGTTATTAATCCAATAACAATTTCATATTTTGAATTTTAATTTCCAATGTATCAAAGTATTGATTTTAAACAAATCACAGCTGGTCCAGGAGTGAACAGCAAGCTCACAAGTCACCACCAGCACTCTTAATTGCTTTGTGTTTTACTGTTTTTTTGTTTTGTTTTGCTTTGTTTTTTCATTTTGGTTCCGGTTGTGGGGCCTGAACTCTGGGCCTGGGCGCTGTCCCTCAGCTCTTCAGCTCAAGGCTAGCGTTCTACCACTTGAGCCACAGCGCCACTTCCGGCTTTTTTTCTTATGTGGTGCTGAGGAATCGAACCCAGGGCCTCAGGCATGCAAGGCAAGCGCTCTACCACTGAGCCACCTTTCCAGCCCTGTAGTTTACTGTTTACTTCAGGGATGCAGATTCCACCTTGTAGGCCTGACCCCTGGCTGGCACTGCATTCAAAATCTCCACACTGTTCCCAAATTCTCCTGTCTACTCTCCATGCTCTTTTTCTAAGCTATGAATTTTGTGAGCAACCCCATAGTTACTGATTATTGTCTAAACTTCTCATCCTGGTGATCAAACTCCAACAGTTCAGTCTCCATATACTTTGCCAACCAACCCCTACCATCTGTTTTTCTCCTTTTATATTCCTGGCACACCCACTCACAAATTGTACTCAGAACAAACACCATGACTCCATGGCTGTCCTCTGTCTGGAAGTCTTTCTTCTCTCATACTTGCCAATCCAATTCCATTCTAAGAAATGCACAAAGGTGCATTCTCCTCTGGGGGTGGTCTCTGCCCTGACTCCCACCTGTACTTGCTTTATCATGTTAATTCTCCATATATGCAGGGTCATCTAGGGATGCTTATCAAAGTGTTTCAGACTTTGAATGCTGTAGAGCTCCAGGACAGGTCTTTCTCTGTTTTCCCCATGCTACCCAGCACTGGGCTTGGAATTACATGAAGGAAAACAGGAAATTGCTCCCCCTCCCCCACATACACACACTCCCTCCAAGGCCAGGCTCCTGTTCAAGTACACTTTGTTATACTTACGGTTTCCACAGTTAAGACCACCAAGGCCAAATGGGCAACTGCAAGTCAAGAGAGAAAAAAAGAACAAGAATTAGTTTCAAACCTCAAAAGAAGTAAGTTAATTTCATTATTTAGCACAGGTTCTTTATTAGGTGTTTATTTTAGTTTTTCTTTTTTGGTCGTGGGGCCTGAACTCTGGACCTAGGCGCTGTCCCTCAGCTCTTCAGCTCAACACTAGCACTCCTCCACTTGAGCCACAGCACCACTTCCAGTTTTCTGAGTGGTTTATTGGAGATAAGAGTCTCACAGACTTTCCTGCCTGGGCTGGCTTTGAACTGCGATCCTCAGATCTCAGCCTCCTGAGTAGCTAGGATACAGGCGTGAGTCACTGGCGCTCAGCTAGGATAGTTTTTATAATAGGATTTGCAACAACTTCATCAGAGTAAATGGCCATGGCACCTACCTCATACAGGTTTCATTTTCAAGTCTATATCCATCTTCACATGCTATAAGAGAAAAGAAAAACCCGTGAATGTGTTTATTAATCTCGATGATTGGAAATCATGTTTACCTGCCGGCTACCCTGAGTATAAAAAAGAACATTCTAGAAGCCGAAACATTTCTTAACCTCTTTATTGATTTCAGTTTCCCAACTATAAGCAGAAGATAAGAAACAGATAATAATTCCAACTGTATAGTGTTTAAAAAAAAATTAAAGCCTGGTGCCTGTGGCTCATACCTATATTCTTAGCTACTCAGGAACTGAGATCTGAGGATCAAGGTTCAAAGCCAGCCTGGGCAAGAAAGTCCACGAGACTCTTATCTCCAATTAATCACCAGAAAGCCAGAAATGGAGCTGTGGCTCAAGTGGTAGAGTGCTTGCCTTGAGCTGAAGAGCTGAGGGGCAGTGCCCAGGCCCAGAGTTCAAGCCCCATGACCAACAAAAAAAGAGAAAAAAAATTTTTTTTTGTTTTCTGCCAGTCCTGGGACTTGAACTCAGGGCCTAGGCTCTGTCCCTGAGTGTCTTTTGCTCAAGGCTAGCATACTACCACTAGAGCCACAGCACCACTTCCAGCTTTTTCTGTGTATGTGGTTACTGAGGAATTGAACCCAGGGATTCATGAGTGCTAGGCAAGTACTCTACCACTGAGCCACCTTTTCAGCCTGTGGTTAATAGTTTTTTCCCTTTCAACTTTTTGCCTATTTTATTGTGAAAAACCATCTATTAACTTATCAGTAGTGTTTTGTGGAAGAGTATTTGGAAAACACCGTTCTAAATAATCTCTAATTTAAGGCTAAGGTGGCACATGCCTATAATCCCAAGTATGTGCAAGGCAGAGATGGGAATATCATGATTTGGGGCCAGATTACACAAAAATATTATTGCAACCCTTTCTAAAAAATATGCTAGAATCCGGGTGCTGGTGGCTTACTCCTGTAATCCTAGCAACTCAGAAGGCTGAGATCTGAGGACTGCAGTTCAAAGCCAGCCCAGGCAGGAAAGTCTGTGAGACTCTTATCTCCAATAAAACACTCAGAAAACTAGAAGTGGTGCTGTAGCTCAAGTGGTAGAGTGCTATCCCTAAGCTGAAGAGTTGAGGGACAGCGCCCAGGCCTAGAGCTCAAGCCCCACAACCAACCAAAAAAAAAAAAAAAATGCTAGAGCAAAGTGCTGGTGGCTCACATCTGTAATCTTACTCAGGAGGCTGAAATCTTAAGGATCTGTGTGAGGCAAAAAAATTGGCTGGACTCCATCTCCAAAATAACCATCAAACATATTTTATAAGATGCTTTCTTTGTTGCTTTGTATGTCCTTCCCCCACAGTATAACCCCTGCTTTCACTGTATTTGATGTTGGTATAATTTGTGGAGGGGAAGGGAAAAAACAAAGCGTTTAAATAGGGATACAGGTGGACCCATTGCAACAATGAGATGTACAAATTGTTATGTTGAAAAACAAACTTTACAACTTGGGGGGGGGAGGGGAGGAGATGGGAAGGGATAGGAAGGGGAAACAAAGGAGGAGGCAACAATGCTTGATAAGAAATGTACTCATTATCTTGCCCATGTAACTGTAACCCCTCTGTACAGTATTTTTAC